CACTAGGATCTATTCTCAAATAATCTTCTGCCAGTAAGGACGTTGTACCTGTCCTCTGACCGGTGGTTTCGCTGTCAAATGGCACCGCAGGATAAACGGTTATGACCCGAGGCCCTCTAAACCAAGTGGTTTTGCCACCAAATGGCACCTCGAAATATGGTTATGGCCAAAGCCAATATGTTTCTTAGTGACATCAAATTCTTGAGATATGAATCATAGGATATGATCGATAGGGCACAAGTCCCCTGTTAGCTAAAGTGGATTCAAGTGTCCCTTTTAGGCAAATATCTACCCTGGGTCTATAAGGTACCCTTGGACGAAGCAACCCATGGCTGCTGATAAGGATCCTTCTATCAGGTTGGGTCGACTACCTGCTCTAACTAAATAGACCAGTGACCGCGATGGCCCGGGATGACAAAACCATGGGATCTTTGATCGGGTCCATTATCCATTCCTCCACCATCTGCTTTAAGTGCAAGATGGTGAAATTTATATTTTAAATTTCAAATCCCCAAATTTTTAAGCCCATGCTGCTACTATATGCTAGATAACACGTATTCTCTATGTGACTAGCCTTAATCAAAAGTTCTTTCTCGTTATCGCGAGTGATAATTAACTCTAGGGGCTTACGACTATAGGAAACCAAAACTCATATCATAAAGTCCTCACAAAATGAGAGTGAAATCTCTGGGTAGTGTCTTATCTACAAACCCATCTGTCTTCCCAAAATTTACCCAGGAACTTAATTCCGTTAAAACTTCCCCAAAAAAAAGCACGCGGGGGAGGCCGGAGCCGAATTTTTGAAGCCCACACATACCTGAACTAAAGAGGGAGGAACTTCCACCAAAGGGGTAGAAGAATAATTATAAGCATAAAATGGAAGACCCTGCACCTAAATATTGGGATTCCTCAACTTAGGATGAGTCTTGCAACATTCAGAGAATTTATACACAAAATATGGCAAGAGGAGCAAAATGGAGGGATATGAGAAAAAAATAAAAATGGTCCCTTGACTCTTTATAAAGGGGGCCAAAATAGTCCTAACTATATTAGAAGATTATTTTGGTCCCTCAAGAGTCTTTAAAGATGAATCAAAATAGTTCTATAGTTGGGGCTTTTTTGTTCCTCTTTAAGAAGTTGAGAGACTAAAATAGTCATTTAATATAGTTGAGAATCATTTTAGTCTTTCATAAAGAGTCAAGGAATCACTTTGGTCCTTTTCTCGGAGGTATATTTTCAATTTCACCTTTTGCAAATATCCAAATGATGGGGATCCAATCCACACATACTTATGAAAAAATATAATAACCTCCAATTCCACCCAGACTATCGCTATAAAAGACCTAGCAAAATGGGTGCCACAATATACTCCTGTAAAGGCTTCCCAAATATAGAAGCCAATGAGAATAAAGTAAACTAGTTGAAATAGTGTAGTTGCAGTCATAAAAAATAGATCCAAATAGAAGTAATTGGGGTTTCCCATAGAGGATTCAAAATGAGGGGATCATTTTAGCATGTGCATCGAGAAGTCACTAATATAATATGAAAGCCATGAAAAGGGCCTAATGTAACATGCTTCTAACGAAAGTCTTACTATGGCATGTCGATAGTCAAGGAACCCATGTAGTAGTCGCTGCAAATAAATTATAAATATAAACTTGTGAAGTACCTCCATATTTGGACGACCTGCAAAGAATTTGCCAATACGTGAGAGGGCGAGAGGCCTAGCAAACACAAAAATCTCAATATTGGTAAAATGGAGAGCAGGCTTTCCTTGAAATGAAGAAGGTTGATTATGCTAGAGAGTTATTGAATTCTATTGAAAGAAAAGTGGAGGCTTGTTAGAAAGAGAGTGGTGAATGCCTCCAACATTCAAACAACAAACATCATTTATAAAAGAGTGCGGTGATTCTGGAAAAGAAAATACAACCACCGAAAAAGATATATAAGAGGAGACTCGGGCAAAAGTGGGACCAATTGGGAAGGATGTGGCAAACAAACTATGGGGTCAACTAAAGCCCTATGAGATAATACTAGGGAAGGAGGAGAAGGGACCAAAAGATACTTAAAATAAAGATATTAGATGATCCATGATCAGTGCCAATGGAAGAGAATTAGTAGGACAAAAAACATGAGAGAAATATTAAAAATCCACCACCAACAAGAAATTGTAAAAATCCATCATCAGTGCCAATGGCTGCATTTTTTGTGTGAGTCGTCTAGCATTATTTTTCATGGGACAAGTTTAATCATTAACACTATCTTTGCCAGGATTAGATGGGACAAAAAATAAAAAATAAAGTAAAATGATATTCTAGGATTAAATGGGGGCATTTAAAGAATATTAACAAATATATTTTTTAGAGTAAGATTTTAGATTTTAAGATTTTTTCTGTCTGTGCATAAGGATGCTAATGCTATGTGAGAAAAAATGGTTAATGATATAAATAATATTGCTAAAGATGTGCTTCGAGTATCAAAGGAAAAAGCTATTTATATAAAAAATAGTTAGTTGTGAAATCCAAATGTGCAAGATAAGATAAAAAAATATGAAGATTTGTTATAAAAACTGATTTGGAAGTAAAAATTTTGATAATTGATAAAGATATAAAGAAGCACGTAAGGAATCTAACAAAGTAATAAGTGATACAAAGATCTTAGCTTTTATTGATTTATATAATATATTAGATACTTATGAGAGAGAAAGATATATGCATAAGTTAGTCAAACAAAGAGATAGGAGTGGTAAGGATTTAGTTCAAGTAAAGTGTATTAAGGATGAAGATCAAAAAGTACTTTTCTTAGAAGATAATATTCAATAAAGGTGGATGAGATATTTGCTAAATTTTTTAATAAAGATTGTGAGAATATGATTGACTTTAGTGACCTTAGCACCTCAAATGAAAATAAAAATTTTATTTTTATCGATGTATTAGTAAAACCGAAGTTAGAAAGATTTTAAAAAAAAATGAAGTGTGAAAAAGCTATTGGACCTGATAATATTCCAAAAGAGGTGTGGAAATGCTCAGGAGAGAAAAGAATTTATTGGTTTACTAAACTTTTTAATACTATTTTAAAGACTAAAAAGATGTCAGATGAGGGGAGAATGGGTGTGTTGATTCATATTTTTAAGAATAAAGGTGATGCACAAGATTGTGCGAATTATAGAGAAATTAAGTTAATGTGTCATACTTAAAAACTATGGGAGTGAGTTATGGAGCATAGGTTGTGGCATAATACTAATGTTTCTCAAAATCAATTTGGATTCATGCCAGGTAGGTCTAATATGGAAGTTATATATTTATTGAGAGGTTTGATGGAGAAATATAGAGAGAATAATAAGGATCTACATATGATATTTATTGATTTAGAGAAAGCATATGATAAAATTCCATGAGAAGTGCTATGGAGAGTTCTTGAAAAAAAAAATAGTTATAATGCTTATATTCAAATCATTAAAGATATGTATGCAGGAGCTATTACTTGTGTCCAAACACGAGGTGGTTTGATCAAATATTTTCCTATTTCGGCTGGATTACATCAATGATCAACCTTAAGCACATATCTTTTTGCTTTAGTCATGAATGTTCTCAAACTTAAGGAAAATTTCTATAAGATAATGGTGAGACCTGCAATGTTTTATGGTGCAGAATGTTGATCATTAAAAGGGCAGCATAATACTAAGTTAAGTGTTGCAGATATGAGAATGCTCAGGTGAATGAGTGGATTTACCCTTAGAGACAAGATACGAAATGAGCATATACGTGAAAAGGTTGGAGTAGCTCCAATGGAAGATAAGATTAGAGAGAGTCGTCTTAGATGGTTTTGTCACATAAAACAATGACCTACCGATGACCCGGTTAGAAAAATAGAGGTATTAGATTTGACTTATATTAAAAAAGGTAGAGGTAGACGTAAAAAGACTTGGTTAGAAAGTATTAGAAATGATCTTTCTTTATTAGATTTAAACGAGAATTTGACTTTTAACAGGACAAAATGGAGAAAATGATTCATGTAGGTGACCCCACGTAGTGGGACAAAGGCTTGATGTTTTTGATGTTGTTGGGCTAGTTTTATCATTGAAGAAAATGAGGGTAAATGCTTTTGTTTTAGTTTGAATAAGAATGGAATGAAATGTAGAAATATATAATGGATTTCGCAGATTGATTCAATTATATTAACAGAGGAATTCTGTTGGGAACCAATCAAGCGTCATCAGTCCCACAAAACATTACTGCTACTCGATATCAAATTTTCAAAGAGCATTTCATCCCCAGAGTCACTTAGATGGTATCAACAAACAGATTGGTCAAATAGCATTAAAAAAAATGACAACAACAATGAGAAATCAAATAGGAATTACTTCACAAAGTATGGCACAAAGCGTATTCATTTCACATTCAAGCAATTTATCTAGTTCCTCCATGAACCACTGGATAACTAACAAAACCACGTATAGGATTAACAAAATAACAGAAATCAAAATTATAAAAATAAAAAAAATAAAAAAATAAAAAAAAAAAAATAAAAACAGGAAGCGAAATCCAGGAAAGCTTCCATCAAAACCCTCCGCAGCACTAGCATCAATTATTAGAAAATTAACTTTATCACGCGTGCCATAACACATCGTTTATTCCTTTTCGTTCACGTAAAGAACAAACATAAGGCTAGAACCGTCATGACAAAATCAAAATCGAAAGCATCAATAGAAAAACTAATATCTGAACCAAAAGAAGAAAATTATGCAAATGCCTGTAGAGAGAAGACTAAGAATCCCTTCGCAATCTGTGATGAAGTTCTCCAATTACGTTAAGGGCTTCAATCATTTCAGCAAACCTCAGGTCCAAGTGAGCAAAACAAGTCCTCCAACAGGAAATCAATCTCAAAAAAAATATAAAAAAAATAAGCAGCAGCAATCAAACACGGGATGAATCGAGCAAAAAAAAATCGCCTGAGAAATCAAGAAGAGTAAACGAATCCAAAAGATGAAGGATATGTACCAGGCTTGCTGCACTGAGGAATTTGAGCCCGGACTGAAGGAAAGGAATCGGAGGCCATGGCGATACGACGAAGGATTCCGGAAGTTCGAAACTACAACGGATTTCATCAATTCCCGCTGGGAGCAGGAGAGCCAGAATGGAGAAATAAAAGCTGGGAAAGCAGCGTGTTATTACCGTGGAAAATGGCTCCCCGAGCGAATGGGGAAGTAATGTATTTTACAATTTACTTGCTCATAATTTATATAAAAAAACTATTTTTTTTTAAAGTCCCACTAAAAAAATTCGTGTATTTTACTATTTATCATTCATCATTTTTTTAAAAAAATAAACTAAATTATAATTAAATTAGTTATTTTTTATTATAATATTTAAGATGATATAATAATCTTATTATAAAATGGAGCTTTCTCAAAAATGTAACTCTTTTTATTTATTTAAAATCATAAGAAAAACCAACTAACTTCCATCAATAAATAAATTATCAAATTTAATTTATACCATATATTTTTTAAATTTATGAATTCTTGAAATAATTAATATAATAAATTGATTTTAAAATCTCTTTTTCTTATTATTATAATATTTTTAATAATTTAAAATTTTTAATTTAAATATCTAAAGAATAAAGAAAAAGAATGTCTGCCATATTTAAAAAATAAAAAAAAAGTATGTTAGGTTTAAAAATGATATAGTTTTTTACTTAAATTTTTTTCTAATATAGTTAATATGATCAAATACTATTCCTATTTTTATTTTTTTCTTTTGGCCAGACTACAAATAGTTATAAAATCATAATGTTAATCTACTTCATGAACAAAAAATTGATTAAAATCATCTAATTTATAATTAAAAATAAAAATTTTTATTTTTAAATATATAATATTTTATATTATAGTATATAAACTTTTTATTTTAAATTTAATTCTTCGTACTAGTCAAAGAATACATTAATCAAAATATTATATTATGTGTGTGAATAAAGAGAGAAAGAGACATCGGAAATATAAATATTAATCCAATTGATAAACTTAACTATGGATGCACTTAACATGCATCTTATTCAGAGAAACATATGTATTCATTTTATTGAAGGTCTTATAAAAGTTCATTCTCATATATGCTGAGTTGTATGATTGGTACCCTTGAAAATATCAATATATAATGCAATTTATAGAAATGGCTATGTTCTTAATAAAGGTAATCTAAGTGGATGAATAAGCAATAGAAGAACCTCCTTGAGATGGCTTGCTAAAAGCTTAGAGATAACTTTACGTAAAGTATTATAGAGTAGTAGGGCATGCAATCATATATGTAGTTGAGATGTAGTTGCTTAGGAATGAGAGCAATATTTAGTTGCTTGATTATATCTAGAAGCTTGTTAGTGAAGGAAATGATCAATAATAAATAGAGCTTGTAAAAGGACAATCTCCTAATTGCTAGAAAGAGAATCTAGAAATGTAAATATTTAGATTAACTGATTTATCTTTACTCATGTTGAAAATATCATGATTAATTTACAACGCTGTAAGAATGTTTTGGATGTCATAAGAGAGAAAGACACTGATAAAGAAGTTAATTATGTGCATTTTGAATAGCTAAATTTATCATCACAGGAGATTGAACAAAAAGAGAACACAAGTTCACAAGTTTGATAAGTGAGTATTACGAAAATACATTACTTGAATTACTCTACGAGAAATGGACAAAAAAGCCATATCACAAAATAATGACATGAGGTTTATAATGACCAATTAAATGGCTTACATCTACTTTAATGCTCATCAAAGAAAATATTCATTCGGAAGAAAGTAGACTAGCTTAATATGTTACAAGATAAGCAACTTTAGGAGAAAAAAAATAGATTAAAAAAGGAAATTACAATTGACAAAAAGAGAGTAGAGAGTGATAAAATATATTGTTCTATCGCTAAGTTTGATGATGACCTTGTGTTTTTTAAGTGCGATCTAAAGAACAATATTTTTTTAATATATAAATTATAGTACAAGGTATAATATTTATAAGATATATATAATAGCCATACAAGGGGAAAAAATAAATTCCACTCTCCACATAGAATTATAAACTTTTCGAATTAGTAAGGGCCTAAAAATAGAAACTAGAATAATGCCATCTCAATTTGATGCCTATAGATATCTCCCATGCCGAATTTATCAAGGGAGCTATAGAATACTTTGCTTAAGATGGGCCTTGGTAGGGACAATGGCTACTTGATCTTCTTATCTCACAAATGAGAATCGAATTATTTTAGCTTCAATTTATTTTCTTGCCTCTTCAACCTATTTCGTTTGATGTGTTGAACTAGATTGTAAGCAATCACAATGATTAAAATATCTTAATTAAAATTTAATTATTATGAAAATGAAAGCATCTAAATTTACTTCCAAATTCATAATATATCTATAATCGATTATGATTATATTTATAATATCTTAATATTAAAATAAATTAAAAAAGCTTTAAAAAAATTTTCGCATGAAAATAGTCACTTGTTCTTAAGACATTATTTTACTAAATCAACTCTATATAACCATAAATATATTTTATTATATAGTAGGGCTAGTAAATTAATGAAAAAAAAATTCTTTTATAGATTGCTTATCAGTAATGTAATCATTAATGAATATAATAATAATAATAGTACAAAGTTTGACAATCACAAAAACAGTGCGTGAAGCATATATTTTTACGTAATATAGTTTAAGATAGTAAGTATAATAATAATATCATTTAAAATTCTAATGTAAATAAGATGTTTTAATTCTATAAAATATTATTTAGAATAATTAAATGCTATGTTTTACTTATATATATCATAACAAACCAAATTATCTATTTTTTAAATCTACCGAATATATTTTTACTTTTTTTGAAAATGAAAAAAAAAAGTTAAAAAATATGATAAAATCAAAACAATTCCAATGGTGACCTATACTCTTGGGGTTACTTCACCACCCATATAATACTTGCGAAACACTTCAGCATCTACAGCAACCTATAATCTTCAGAAGATAGTAACAAAAATCATAAAGAGCATATGGCTCTATTTGGCACGGCTTTAATACGATTTTTAAATCAGCTTTTTAGTATTTTTAATATTTAATATAATACTAAAAAACTGTTTTAAAAAATAATAATAAAGCTGTACCAAAGAGAATCTACATCTGCATGAAAGTTCTTTTAAAGCTCAAATTGCATCCAGAAAGTGATGCCCAGCTTACATCTAAAGCATAAGAAAGTTTTTTTTTATTTCTTTTAATAAACAGTTAAAATAAGATAAAGTGAGTAATTTAAATCCCAAAAATTAAGGTTAGTCTACAGGCAAGCAGGACTGAACAGGAGCAACTACTGCTGAATCGTCTACAGATCTGGCATGCCAATCCCAACCTTTGCATCATAAGTTTTCTCAAGCACAACATCAATAGGGGTGTCTTTTGGGCCAGCTGCAAAATTAAAATTATAAAGTTTCCAAACAAACTAATATATAAGAATAAATAAATAACATGCAACAGAATAAAGGTTTATATGCCAAAAGAAAAAAAATTAAAAAAAAAATACAAAAAAAAAAAGTTTTACATGCCAAGGGATATTTCAAGCTTGGGATTACAATATTTTGAGAACTTTTAAGTACTCATTTAGGGCAAATTATTGCATCCGGTCACCGGACGCAGAGAATAGGTTCGGACATCTAATAAAAAATTGCCACGTCACCTGCGCTTTAGATGCGTTTTGACTGCGCTTTCTAACCAGATCCGCAAACAAACAAAAATAGACTCATTTTAAAAATTGGGCAGTTGGGCATATTGCGAGCAATGATTTCAAAATGAAAGGCTGCAAGGGCATTTCAACAATAATGCATTCACGCAAACAATTGAATATGAAAATATTTTTGTCCAGATCATAAAAGCACCCATGAAATATGCTTTAACTCAGACATCGTGAAAATTCACTAACAATTGTGTAAGCTTAGTAACACAACTCACACATGTTCTTGTAAGTGTATCAACATCCAAAAATCACTATAATTTTTAAAACATCACATACAATTAAGACAAGATAAATTCAATTTATATCACTTTAAATAGCATGCAACTTCTCTAAAATTATGCACCATCACTTTGAAAAGCACGCAAAAAATTACTTTCAAATTCACAATCATCAACATATTGCACGCACACTCTCAAGCGGGATGCCCTAACTATAGGATACCATTGTAAGTCCAACTTTTCAAGTTTAGTCTTTCACACCGCATAAACTAAACAAAACTTCTTCCCGCTGACAAATATTTACCCCACCAATTCAACAACAACATCATCATCAAGCCTTATGTGCGGTCGGCTACATGAATCTTTTTTCTCCATTGTGTCCTGTTAAGAGTTAAATTCTCATTTAAATTTAATATAAAAAATGTTAATATTTTCAAGCCCAGACTATTTAGGTGTATCTCTACATTTATGTTAACATTTATTAACATAGGCCAAACACACTTTTCTATTATACAACAAGCTCAATGCATTCCTCCACTTCAACCATCCAAACAAATAATATCCCCATCCATTTCACCATCACTTTGAACAATAAACCCAAGATATGTAAAATGTGTACTCTTATTAATGACTTGATTGCCCAAATTCATAATCCCCCGCTAGATCTATTACAACTAAAAATTACACTTAATGTATCAGTTTTAGATTTGCTCAAACAAAAAAATTTAGACTCTAAAGTTGATCTCCATAATTTAAGTTTTCTTCCAACTCCCTCTCTAGTTTTATCAAGAAGAATATCATCAACAAAAAACATACACCATGATACATCCTCTTGTAAATGTCTAGTAAGAACATCCATGACTTTTTCCACACTTCATTTTCTTTAAGGTCTCTCTAACTTCGATTTTACTAATACAAATATCTTTTCTTTTAGGGTGCTAAGGTTATTAAATTCAACAGTATTCTCATAATCTTCCTTGAAAAGTTTACCGAAATATCTTATCCACCTTGGCTAAATATTCTCATCTAATAAAAAAAATATTTTTTTATCTTCATCTTTAATGTACTTCACTTTAATTAAATCCATATTTTTCTTATCTTTTTGTTTGACTGTTGTCTTTGTTTGGATTGTAAGATTTATATCTTACAGTATGATTAGTTTGACAAAAAGGGGGTGGTGAGTATTTGTTTGGGTTTGAACATATATTTGCATTTGTATTTATATCACCATTTGGCATATTTGTACTCAATTTTTTTTGTTTAGTGTACTTTATTAAAATAATAAAAAAATAAAAAAAATCATTCTCTTTCTCTCATAACTTAATTTTTAATTGGCATAAATTACGGGGAAGAACAGTCGTATGAAAAGTAAAAAAATAAATATTTTTTCTAATTTAAAATTAATGTAAGAATCAACCAAAAAATATTTCTCATTATTAAAAAGCAGGAGATTGTTGAATCTCATAAGCCTAAAGAGTTTATTGATGTATTGATAATTCCAAATATTATTAATTATGATTTTGAGCTAACGAACTTGTGGGTGTAGGCCTTCTAGTTAAGCTAATATTTCAGATAAATCAAGAGATAAAGGTTAAATGATATTGGACATAAAACTTGAATGGAAATCACAGAAGTGCACTCAGCCTAGACTAAAGTAGAGAAGCCATCAAGAAAAAAAGACTACCTATGAGCAAAATTCTCGATTTTTCATTTAATTGTGTCATTTATATGTCACAGGAATACAATTTCTGAAATAACCAAGCACACACCCTAAATACTAGTTAATTAAAATTACTTGATTGATTCAAATCACACTATAATATACATGACATTTTTGGAAATTCTAAAAAATCAAGTCATATGAATTAACATAAATTTTTAAATTAAAATTCAAAAACTAATCGTATTGTATGATACCCCATCGAACAGTACGATCAATTATAATCGTATCAACTAGCCATTATCAGTTCCTTCCTTAAATAAGCAAATTCAAAATTTAATTAATTGTACAGTACAATAACCTATACAATTTATCAAATTAATAGGATAGAAATTTCTTTTATTTCAACATATATATATATATATATATATATATATATATATCCTCTCTTTTAATTTAAATGAAAATAAAAATAAAAGAATGTGAATCAATTCCTCATGCAATTTCTCATTCCTAGTACGTCTCGATTTGCATGTCATCGCCCTATGCTCAAGCAAATTTATATTTTGACTCGTGCGATAACCTAAGCACTATGGATGTCATTTCAAGATAATTTCAATGTTCTGAATACAATGACACAATCCGTTTCACAAACAAAAGATGTTCAGATGACTTCGCACAAAGTTTGACTGCATTCTCTTGAATCGAAAGCAAAAGATAATTTCTTGATAATTTTGATGTTTCGAATGCGATGGTGCGGCTCGTTTCATGAACATACAATGTTTGAGTGAATCTGATTGTCGTTGAGATATTTTGAGCTCACTACGTGGTGTCAAGTCGGTTGGCCACCGTCGAGGCATTTTAAACTTGCGACGTGCGCGACGTCACTTTGTTTGAACACTGCTCTCGTTACACACATTTGAATTGATTGTAGAACATATGTGGAGGTCAACACTAGCATGATCAATGAGTTATCTATCACAATTATTTTAAATCAAACATTAAAATTAAATCTGTCTTTTTTCATCAATTATGTAATTGATTATAAATGATATTTAAAGTGAGATACTTTAATGTATGTTCTTTTTAAGATAGTTTTGTTCCATTTGGTGAGAGCTAAGCTGAAAAAGAATAAAGGTTAAAACAATGGAGTAAGCATTTAAAAGTACAAAGATTGAACATATGATGCACAATTTCAAAAGAAATGTGATATATAATTAATTATTAGATATAGTTAATAGTTAATAGAAGATAAAGTGATACTTAAGTATGATAGGCTTTAATATCTTAGATACAAAAGAATCGAGTACTAGAAGATCTAACTTTCAATGTTAAGGCTAACGGGATAAAGTGGAAAAGTGCCTCAAGAGCATTATGTGATAAGTAGATACCATGAAGATTTGAAATGAAATTTCATATAACTCCAATAAGCCAACTATGTTGTGTGGATTAGTGTGTTAGGAAGTAAAGATTTAATTTATAGACAATATAAAAAATATAATGTTTAAATAGATGTGTGAAAGAATAGAAATAATTGATTGAAAAATTATTATATTAAAGAGATAATGGAAATATCAACTATTGAAGAGACAATAATGAAAAATAATATTAGGTGATTTAGGTAGGTACAAAAAAGTATTAAAGTTACAACCAAAAGATGAGTGCATAAAAATAATGTTGAAGAACTAGCAAGATGATAGAGTAAAAGTGGAAAAGGCTAATGATGATAGCTACTTGCTAAAGAAAGGAAATAGGATCAATTGGAAGAATTACATCCACACCAACAAAATAGCAAGGATGATAAAAGGAACATACCTACCAAACAACCTAGCATCATGACAAGTCTAAAACCTCAGTTCAAGCAATTTTGAGCCAGTAGGCATCAGAAGCTTAGAAATTCACAATCTGCAAAGGGAAGTAAAACTAAGGAGTATGCTAGTTCAACAAAAATTTATCCAAATGCTAGGTAAAACAACAAAAGGATTTCTAAACAAGAGTAATAAATGAAGGTTAAGTATTCCACTTATATTGCTAGATGTTGCAGATTCTAAAAGCTGTCATAAAAGATTAATTAAAGTACATGAAGCAACATATTTTCTTGAACAAATTAATACGGAGATGTGAAAAGATTTGAATACAAATAAGGTAAAGAGTGCACACAAGAACAGCAATGAAATTTGGCTATAAGCAAAAAAGTTTCCAAGATGTTGTACTCCAATTGTGCATCCTTCACATACTTGGATTGTCAGATACTGCATCGTTAACATAGGCCAACCTAGAAAATCCTAAAGGATATACTCATTGGAAACAGTAGTAACTAGGACTTTGTGTAAAGTAATGACATCTAACACTCCAACAGAACTTATCCAATCAACTCCTATCTCAAACATCGGTCTTATATCAATCAACTAGTTGTTAAAAGTTAAATCCATAAAAGAGAAAAATAATGGGAACTAGGCAATTGTCTTTGTTTCAATAACCTTCTTGACACTAAATGATATATCTTCAACCAAGCCAATCAACTAAGCTTCTGTCCAAAATCCCATGTTAAATTTTCAGTAGACTGAAAACAACAGAATTTTTTTATTTTTTTGGCACAGAATGAGCATATATGTAAACATTCAGGTGCTTTGTATCTTTTGACACCAACAACTATCAGATGAAAAATTTAATTGAGAATGAAGCAAATGAAGAAAAGAAGGGAGGGGAGCCCTTCATGTAAAACGTAAGATACTAAGTACAAGATGAATATAACAATGCTAGGAAAAAACCATTAAAGCCTTGGATCAAGTTTAGCCTCTATATAGATCCCAAAATAAAGAAAACTTTTAGAAGGCTATATCACATTATTTTCTGGATATAATGTGCTCAGCTAAAAAAATTTAGTAAAGTATCCATTCAAAATAAAGATAGATTTCAGATCATTGACACATACGTTCTATAGGTCGTGGCTTTCTCCTCATTTTAAGTATCTCAGGGCGGGGGATTACAGAACCTGAAGCTTCTCGTCCTCTAGAAATTCTTACCTTGCTTCCATCTTCCATAAACCGGTAACCAATTTTACAAGGCCTCCTGATTAATAAAACAAAGAAAACGAAACATAAAAAAGCATCCCAGACAACGAAAAAGCTCACCAAATTGATATATATAGTTTGGGTTGCTAAAATAACAGATTCACAGCATACCCAGTTACTGGATCAATAACTTGAACATTTGAGACATGAAGTGGAGCTTCAACTGTGAATATCCCTCCTTCATGTCCTTGCCCTTGTTTGACATGCTTCTTTACCTGCAAAAATTTTTTAATACTGCATATTTACATACCAAAGGAATAAGATGGTGCACCCAAAAGTAAAATAAAAAACAAAAGAATTGTGTACTGACTAAGAGATAGCAATCGTAGGAAGTGAAAAATGAAATAAAATGAGGATTTTAGTTAACATATTTTCAGCGGCATTTAAGCAAGATTTAGCTAAAATATCCTGCCAAAAAGAATTTTGATAACTCCAAATCTTTTTTTGTTAACAAATCCCATTTCAGTCCCGTTACTTTTTAAATCCAGATTTTCTAAATCCCACCATTCACAAGAATTAATGGACTTAAGGATTTCTCCTTATAAATCTTAAAACTAAAACAGAAAGCCGAGCATTTTTTCAGGATTTAGCAAACATGATTTAACAGTTATAATGCCAAACAATTCTCATATTTTAACACTCTCATGGGCTGTTTAAAAAGGATTTATCGTAAATCCTACCAAATGGAACAAAAGGCGTTATAAATTCTCACCCATCGCAAGTCCTAGATTTCGCACTTTTCACTGAAAATCTTGGATTTGCTAAATCCCATATTTCAACGGATTTAACGTGATTTATTGAAAGAGCTCTCCCACGGCATGCTTATCGAGTAGGTAAAAATCCTTTATCTACAACGTAGGGTTCAGACATCTCCGCACCGAACTGCAAGCTAGCGCAGTCTTCTTCCTTTCTAAGTTCTGATTCCTCTTCCTCATCTATAATCTTTCGCACTACCTCATCAATCATCTAGAGATCCGATGAAGGTAGAGTTTTTAGCCTTTTCCTATACTTTCCATTAGAGTAGAGAACATATTGTGGTGATTTTTGGTTTTGCGGTGATTTTTGGTTGCACTTGATATCTTAGCTTGTTGCTTTCCAATTTCCATGGCATCTTGACTATCCCGAAAATGTTTCTGATATGTGTTCATTATACAGCTATTTGAGACCATTGGATGTTTATTAACTATTTTGCATTTATCCTTGCATCTATGATTGGAATAGTTTTGTTGAAGATTGCATCATGTCTGTTATTGTATATAGCAGTGATAAAGTACTATATCATTCTAACATTTTCGTAGAGTTTATGAATCCTGATCCAAGTGAATTTAACTGAAAAATTTCTAATTTCCAACTAAGATTCAGACATTAGAATTATATGGTTGCCTAAAATTTACCTAAAGTGTATGATATTCTATTAAAAAATACATGTGAATTGTCCGTGAATTTTGGTTTCAAGTTCAACAATTATTTTCCTTATCTATATATGTTTTATTTTTGTTACTCTGCGGTTTGATGCAAGTAATTTTGTGAATCGAGCTAATTTTATGAATCCAAATAGTATTTGTATGTAGTTTGTTTTTCAATTTACTATTAAACTATAAGTCATCTTTTTGGCAACCATTGATGATAAGTTGTTTGTTAATTTTGTTTAATTAGTTGGTCCGAAATATTCTTGTTTTTTGGTATCTTTCTTATGGGGCTAAGGGGATTTAGATGGACTTTGCAACTCTTTTGATTCTTTATAAAAACTAGAATAATCAAATATCAGCGGAAAATTTGAAATATTCTTTAAGGTGTTACTAGTGATTCAGTTTTCCATGTTTGGTTGTTTTTGTATTATGTTCAACAGAATTCTTCTAGTAAATACAACCATCTTTTATTCCAATTGCTTTCTTTTATCCTTCTTTTTTTTATTGAAAGAAGACCATGGCAAGCAAAGCAAGAGAAATAAATCATAAAATTTGACATTCCTTAACAATAATTTTTTATATGCTAATAGTTCAATTAGCCTTTTGCGATATATAGATTTTGGTAAAACACATTATAAAGCCATTCTTCTCTAATTGCTCAAAACACATATTTAGGCAACATAATATGCTTCAATCAATTTCTCTAAGTAACATAGTTTTATAATTTAGGTTATGTCGAACATGTAAATACCAGGAGCTACATCGACCACTGACATTTCATCTGAACTTGGGAAACTAAAAATCAATATCAAATTGAAGCAACTTGCATATAAGGGTCTCAATATTTGACATGACACAAAAATCTGACCCTAACCTGACCTGAAAATTTCAAATTCAGATTGACCCATTTGGAAAACGGGTCGGGTTTGGGTTTCATGTTCTGACCCATTTGGAAAACTCGCACCCTACTCCTGCGGCAGGACAGTTGGTCGGTTACGAGTTTAAATTTCAGACCCATTTTTCTAATCGAGTCGGGTTCCGGTCAGAGCAGTTGGAGGCGGGTTAGACCCGAAAACCAATTGACACTCCTTCCTGCATTGATAAGTGATTTAATTATCATGAGATTGAACATGAAGCTTTAGACTCCTTTAGGAACCACAAGTCGTCAGACGTTGTGTACCCACATACAAGTCAGTTTGAGCATCATCATCATAAGTGTAAAAAAACATCTAATAGAAATCATGTGCTATATTTGGACTTATTAGTAGGGCATGATGGGCCATAAATAATAATTACAAATTTTAAATTTGTTTTGTAAAAAAATAAGAGATTTTAAAGAAAAAAATCTATTGTGCGAGGAAGTTCAATTTCTCACCCAAGAGCAAATGAGGATGTCCTAATCCACACTGGCCAACCAAAATACTTGACATGAACTCCAAAATGGCTTGAAAAGCATAACGTAATGCTAGGGGTGCTCCTACTTGAACAATTCTTATATGAAAATTTCTATAACGACATTTTGAAGAAGGAACAAAAAATGAATCTTATAAAAGTGATGAAAAGACATCTAGGAATCAATTTCACCGAAGCAATTATCATGATAAGGTTTAAAAATATAAAGGAAAACTTTAGAAGTTTGTATCAACAATCAAGTCGAAGAGGTTGGGTATGGGATAAGGAACTTCATATCCCAATCGAAACTGATGAGTTGCGAGAAGAGATTATTCAGGTAACTTTGCCTCTAATTGATATTCTAAATGCAAGAAATAATAGTTTACTAGTAATAATTGAAAATTTGAATGATAGGAAAACCCCAAGATTAGCCAATTTCGCAAATAGACATTCTATCAGTAAGAAATATTCGAAAAAATCTATGTTGAAAATATTGAAATTGTGATAAGATCACACTCCACTAGGACATCACAACATGCGAACAACAACGAAGAGGATGAAGTTCAAAACTGCAAACGATTTCATGTCAAAGCATGGTGTTTGCTTGCAAATAAGCGCAACGTTAATAGCACTCTCCCGGATGTCGAGTTCAATATGTGATACCAGAGAACCCACCAAATTCAAGCCCTATGGTAGGCTCCAAAATGTCCAATAATGATCCTATATGTAAGGTCAAGCGTACTAAAATAAAGGAGATAAAGAAACATTGAAGAAGCTATTAGCTAAGTCAAATAAGAATGAGATAATGTTTAACTATGCAATTGAACAAAGTGGTCTTTACACAATGATAGAATATTTCGTAAAATTAAATAACATCAAGAATATCACTCCTCAAGCAACCTTTGTAGTCCATGATACACTCAAGGAAAAAAAAACAAGTAGGCCCTAAAGATATGGGGTCATGAGCTTCTTAAAAATTGGATTGAGTGTGTTGTAAGTTGTCACCCACGTTTTTATGCATCCCCAATGTGGTCGTAATAATATTATATATAGTGCTTATTTCATCATGTGTTGTGTTTTGTTATTTGTTAGAAATTCACTTTTTATGTTTAGTTCATCATTTGTTGTATTAAAAAAAGTTTTAGAATGACGTGGTATCACTTGCTATTGAATAACTTAATTCATTTCATTTAATCTCATGGTAATTATGACTAATTATTTATGTGGGGACTTCTTGATTCCCTTTATGGTATGGTTGATTTGCAATTAAAAATAAATGAAGTGATTTCTAAATTAATTATATCCATCTTAGAATATAGTAACTCATATGAGGAAATGTATATAAGATGACATATTTGATAGGACATACATGGGTCATCAGTACATGGAGGATGTGCTGGCTGGTCATTCGATGCTTCAGGTTATCAGCTAAGGCTTGTGTGCATCTAATAGGCCTACTAGTTTGTCACAACCTTTTAAATGATAAAAAAATATAATTGCAACAAAACAACTTGGCAAATTTCTTTGGAGGAGAGCCCATGCTCGTATCTATAAATAGTTATGTGAGCTCTTCCAAATTCACTAGAAACTATAAGTGGATACTTCAATCAGGTACTATGCGCTATCGTGTTGTTATTTGATGAGTTTATTAATTTAGCATTGCAAGATGCAAAATGTCATCCGTTCAAATGCACAATTTTGCCCATTACTTCAAAAATGCAGTAAAGGCAATTGATGATATGCTTGCTCCTATATTAGTTAATCTACAATCTCGATATCATAACTGGAAAAATTTTATAACTCAAAATGTAATGGCTGCAGCCATTCAACCGACAGCTTGTCTATGTTACCATTGGCTGAAAGGGTTCTATTGCGAATATGTGCATGCTTGATGGTTAATGGATGAGGGATAATTTGAAGTACCTAGAGGTATTTATTATTTGGTTGACTATGGTTATGCGAACACTGATAAAATGATCACACCATTTTGGGGATATTGATATCACCTAAGTGATTATCATGGAACAATCTTTAAAAGATATATTATTGAGAAAGAGATATCTAATCACCAACATGCACAATTGTGCAACGTAGTTTAGAGAATTTTTTGAATTTGAAAGGAACAACTTCAAGTGTTGACTCATATGCAATAATTTCCTCTAACTACTCAAGCTGACATCATGCATGCAAGTGCAATTTTGCACAACTTCATTGATTGGTACCATAGATATGATCTCTATTTCAACATATTGCAGATAGAAATGCAACATGATTATCAATACAGTGAGGTTAAAATGTCTAAAGAGGATCCCAATATACATGGAACAATAGGAAACAAACTTAAAAAGGAAGTGAAAAGACATGCCATCATCATAGATTTGGGGGATGTTCATGTAAGAATTTTAATTGCAGTATTAAAAATTCTATTTAATTTTTAAAATTTAAAAATTTTATGATTTTTTTCAAATGTCAAGTCAAAGATGCCACTCATCATGATTGAATTGCATTGAAGTGTAAATCATATAGTTGTCAATGTGCAAGCATATATCGTATATTGTTCTCCACTACTACTTAGTCTACGTGTTCATTAATATTAATATACTATATACTCTTTGTTAGTTTTATCTTTTCTATTATATAAACTTACGTTGGATTTATAATTTAGCTATTGATGTAATCCAGTGATATCATGCAAAAATTTTCAGTCCTTATACATGCATTATGTATATGTTCACATTTAAATTCTTAGCTACCATAAATCCTAAAACATATAGTTAAATTGTTTGTCAAGATTTAACATATATCATGACAAATTGTTTTCAGAATTTAACACCCTTGGGATTTAATAAATCTCGAATTACAGGACTTATCAAATCCTACTTATTGCCAAAAAAAACCCTCAAGGTTTACTTTATATGGACTTACTATATCCTTCTAGAACCCATATAATAGAGTGAATAAAAAGAGCAGGCCCGCCCCACAAATTCCACCCGACAAATCTCCCCGACCTTATTTCATAGAAATAAAAACAGGTAAAAATGATAAAATATGAAAGGAATGGGGATTCGCAAAAGAACAGAAGTATGGAAAAAATCGCAACAGAACAAAAGGCTCAAAGAAATCTAGGTTGAAGTCGAACCAGATTTTGCCCTTCGACAATAACACGGTTTTGGGAACGAATAACACGCTTGATGGTGCCCGTTTCGCCCTTGTCTTTGCCTCTTATGATCATCACCTGCAAATCGAAGAAAACCAACAAAATATATGAAACCAATGACAGCAATAACTATAAAATATAATCTGTGGCGGCGAAAGTGCTGTCCACGATAGAGAAACCCTAAACCCAGATCGAGAGCGATGGTTTGAAAAGCATACGTTATCTCCTCTCAAGATCTTCCATTTTGTTATCAACTTCTCCGCAGCCTTCCATCCCATAGTCTCTCGCCTTCCCCTTCACTAAATCCTTGATCGCAAGCTCGCTCCAACTCTTCCGAGCAGGTTAGGAGTTTAAGCCGGCCAACGCATTCATGACCCGAAACACAACTCAACCTCACCCGAAAAAATTCGGGTTCGGGGTCGGGTTGGGGTTGAACAAATCAATCCGTTTTAAAATTGGGACGGGTTCGGGTTGACCCAACAATCCGAAATTGATCCGAAAGTGACACGAAAACTCATATTTGACCTGAAAACTTGAGATTGACCCGTTTTGACCCGATTTTTTACCCCAAAATTAGCAATTTTAGGTCAACTTCGGGTCATTCGTGTCGGGTCGGGTTCGGGTCCGGAAACCTGACCCGCTTTTAAAAACGGGTCAGGTTCGAGTTATCCCGAACAGTGTCGGATCAGTTCCGGGTTCGATCCGAACCCGACCCGCTGACCCAAATTGACACCCCTAATGAATACATTACTGGGGCTGTTTGGTTGCTTGCAAAGTAAATTTTGTGTAAAGTTTTTTTGGGAGAATTTTGGGGCTTAGCCCATATATTTTAAACAAAAAGATTACATCAAGGCTCCCTCCCAGGAAAAAGAACTGGAAGGAAACAAAATAAGAACCCAAAACCAAAACAGAACAAGCAAAATATGAAAAACCAGCCAAAACAAGAAGCTGGGCAAAAAAGCACGGACTTAGGAAAAAGGGGTAACAAAGAAGGCAAAACTTTCATGAAACGGTTCAACAAAGAATTCCACTCAACCTTGGTTGCCAGATTAGAGCCTTAAGAACTCTTAACCCAAAAGAAGACCATCTAGTAGAGAAAAAAGTCCATACCATCCAAGGGAAAAAAAAATCCCTGGTTGCCACACAATATAATCCAAATAAACCACCACCCAAGATGCCTCCAATAAAATTAATCAAACCTGGCCATCCAAAGGAAGAGACCAAAATGAGGCAACCCAGCATTGTTAGCCCCACACATCATCGTCCAGCATAAGAGGAACAGTTTCCTCTCAAAAATATTAGAGAAATCGAAGCGCAAGAATAGCCAATCAAAGGCAGCAGGCCTAAAAATATTTGGGGAAAGCCACCTTAAGCAAATCAATCCTTTTCTAGTTGTAAGTCTTAACAATGATGGCAAGAGAAATCCTCCTTATAGAATCATTAACAATAACCTTAGAACCAGTGAATCGCAAGGTGTTTCTATCCCTCCACAAATAATAGACATAGCAGCAAATAACAAAGTAACAAAAATTCTTTTCAAAATTATGAAGCCTCATATTTCCATCAATGAAGTCAAAGAGCTGGAGGAGAGTGGGAGGAAGCAGAAAATTCCGAAGTGGAAGGAGAGATGAGATAACAGAGAAGGTATGGGCACATTGAAAGAAACAATGCACAATACTTTCATCCTCCATCCGGCACAGAGGGCACACCGGGTTAATAACAATATTTCTTTTAGCAAGAATATCAGTAGTTTTTAAACCATTCATAAGAGCCAGCCACACATAAGCAGAGTGTCTTAAAGCAGAGTGTCTTAAAGCAGAGTTTTTGTGCCACACAAATTTGTACCAAGCTACTTTATCCAACTCAGCATAAAACTTGATGTAAAAAGTCTTAAATTCCGGTTTAGAGGAGACGATCCAGGAAATAGCATTGGTAGAGCCATTTAAAATTGGAACAAAAGTAATGTGATTCACTAAAGGATAGCCAAACAGAGAAGGTAAAGACCAGTTTCCAGCAATAATAAAATCCTTCACAGTAGAGTCCTCCAACATCTGGTTTTGGGAAAAATCAGAAATCGCTAAGCCAGCACACCAGGGGTCCCAAAACATGGACAGATTATAGTTAATGGAGGAGACATGAAAAGCCAAGTCTCCTCTAATCTTGGAAGCAGTAGAGGAGATATTATTCCATAATTTAGAGGCTCTAGTAAGTAAAGGCTTCCAAGGGGAGGAAAACATAGCTCTAAGCCAATCCCCCACTAAAGTATCATAATTATAGAATCTCCATAAGAAAGAGACTCCATAAGCAAATTCCATAGAGTCAATGGATTGTAGGCCCAAACCACCAAAACACTTAGGAATGCAGGTTTTCTTCCAGGCAACAAGATGTAATTTCTTGACAGAAGTATAGCCATGGAAGAGAATGAAAATTCGTTAGGGATGTTAAGCCCTATAGAACTGGCCCAAGGCTAACCAAGAGGGGGGTGAATTGGTATTTAAAAAAAATCTTTTGAATCAAAAGAACGATTATCACAAACCAAATCATCACAAAAATAAGTACAGAAGAAAATAAATACGGAAGCAGAAAAAATAAGAACACAAGGGTTTATAGTGGTTTGGTCAACTCGACCTACGTCCACTCCCCGGAGGCGCCATCCGATTATTGCACTACAATCGTGACTCTCCTTTAGCCCCCACAGCTAGGCGGAGAAGCCCTTACAAACACCTCCTTTTTGCCACCCCCGGCAAGGCAGAGTGTCACGACCCAACCCGACCGGGACGGATCCCGCTCGCATTAGGTCATGGCCAGACTTAATCTGACTGAATTGATTCCAGGATCTGGCTTTGGAATTTGTTTCAGAACTTTCTTCCAAGCATTATACACAGAAACAGACACACAGAGCTACTATAACATCAAAATACAGCGGAACAGATCATCTATCTTTTCTTCCTCAAAAGAATCATATACAAATACAGCTCATGGCTTTCAGGCAGAAGGAAAAGCATAGCAGAAAAGCCATGACTGTACAAAAATCAAAAGTGCAAAATACCTATAACGGATCAGACTCTGAACTCCTAGTCCAAGACTTCCTTCTCTTTCCCAGAATCTGAAAACCACGCAGAAAACAAGGATGAGCTACAACAGCTCAGCAAGACATCAAACCTCCAATCAGAAACTTCAGAATCCACATCAAGCACATCAGACAAAAATCCGTACAAAAATCAGATCAACAGAATCGTATATCGAATCAGAACAGAATCATACAGATCAGATCAAATCAGAACAACAGAATCGTACAGATCAGATCAACTCAGAACAGAATAGAATTAGATCAAAATTGTATCAGAACATATCAATTCAGAATACATCAAATCAGAACGTATCACAATCAGAACAGAACAAAAGTCAGAACAGATTCTCTGACACTAACAGAATCTCAACGGATTCTTGCCCCTTATGCCTCCCTTCCCAAACACTGACAGAATCTCTTGGATTCTGGCCCCTTATGCCTCCCTTTGTGCTCATGGCACCAGAACAGATGTGCTTATAGCACCAGAATAGAACTTATCATCGGATCCGTAACAGAACTTGTTTTCAGATTTCAGAGCTCATTTCAGATTTTCCCTGACACAGACAGGATCTCACAGGATCCTGACCCCTTATAACTCCCTTTTTTTATAGCACACAATCATATCATGTCATTTCAGAACAAATCCGGACAATTTCAGAAATCATACGAAAATCCGGTGGCATAACGGCAGTATACAGAATTTACACAAAATTTATCAAATCAGAATTTCACCAAATTACCACAGAACATTCACAACAACATTATAAGACTTTTATTCAACTGCCACAACATTTACAGACATCGTGAAAATTTACAGTCAACAGAAAACGCTGCCAAATCAAAATTATCCGGTTAAAAATCTCCAGAAAATAATCAAAATGTGCGCACTCGGCACCTTAGAAACATATCAAAAGTTATGCGGTAAAAACTGAACCAGTCAAAAAATACGGATGAAATTTGCTAACAAAAATGAAATCCGGACAGAAAAATCGTTCAAACTTCATCGTTCTGAAATTGAGAAAGGCGGAATGTGCCTTACCTTGCGTACACCAATTTCCTGAACTGTCTCGACGAACGAAAACGGCCCGGCGTTGCCCAGAAATCAACTTTTCCACTCTTCTTCTCGACCTTCTCTCTCCTCAAAAAATTAGATATTTTGATTTTGATTTTCTCTCTCTTCAAAATGAGCTGATTTCAGCTAAATAATACTCTGATCGGCCCGGCCGATCGCACGATCGTCCTGGACGATCTGAAGAAAATCCAATCGGCCTGGGATGATTTCTCAGGACGATAATTAATTTCTTGGACGATTTGCTCTCTGACTTGTGTCATGCTCTGATCGTCCAGGGACGATCCCAGATCGGCCAGGACAATACCTACAGGAAAATTTTCCTGGAACTTTTGTACAAAATCTGGAACAACATCTGAACTGATCGTCCCAGGATGATCCCAGATCGGCCCGGACGATATGAGTAAACCTGATGTTACAATCTCCCCAACTTCAAAAAAATGTCGTCCTCGACATTGTCCAATCAGAACTCCGTCAAAATAGATACGGATAGGACTTCCTCATGTCCGACTCTTTCTCCCAAGTCGCTTCTCGTGCAATTCGGTGCTTCCACTGCACCTTAACCATCGGAATCTGTATACTCCTCAACTTACGAATATCGTAAGCTAGAATCAACTCGGGTTCTTCTTTATAACTCAGATTGTCCTGAATCTCAACCTCATCAGCAGACACTTTCTTTCCAGAGTCAGATATCCACTTTTTCAAAGTAGATTCGTGGAACACATTATAAACATCGGACATCTGATCAGATAACAACAGCCGATAAGCAGATTTACCAATCCTTTCAAGGATTTCAAACGGTCCAATATACCTTGGACTGAGCTTACTCACTCTGCCAAATCTGCTCACACCCTTTATCGGACTGACTTTGACATACACAAAGTCACCAACTTGAAATTTAACGAACCTGTACTTCTTATTGTAATATTTATGTTGTCTATCTTGTGCAGCTTTCAACCTTTTTTTAATCAAATTGACTTTCTTAACAGTTTCATCTACAAAAGTGGCACCCATCTCCTTTCTAACTCCAACCTCAATCAGAGTCAAAGGAGTTCGACACTTCCGGCCATACAGAGCTTCATAAGGTGTCATACTAATACTGGACTGAAAACTGTTATTGTAAGCAAACTCTATCAGAGGAATGTGATCTTCCCAGCTTCCTCCAAAATCTAAAACACAAAGCCTCAACAGATCTTCCAGTACCTGAATAGTTCAGACTGTCCGTCAGTCTGCGGATGAAAA